GTAGATGCCCAGTAATGGGATTGCTGGATCAAATGGTAGTTCTACTTGTATCTCTTTAAGGTATCTCTATATTGCTTTCCACAGAGGTTGCACTAATTTGCAGTCCCATCAGCAGTGTGTGAGTGTTCCTACCTCCCACATTTTATCAATCCAGTCATGTGTTGAGGGGCACCTGGGTTGTTTCCACATCTTTGCAATTGTGAGTTGTGCTGCTACAAACATTCGAGTGCAGATGTCTTTATTATTGAATGTTTTTTTTTCCTTTGGGTAAATATCTAGTCGTGGGATTGCTGGATCAAATGGTAGTTCTACTTTTAGTTCTTTGAGGTATCTCCACATTACTCTCCCTAGAGGTTGTACTACTTTGCAGTCCCACCAGCAATGTATGAGTGTTCCTATCTCTCCGGTGAATTTTAAAACAATTGAATTTAGAAGGAGAAGTTTTGTGGTAATTATTAACCTTCCCCTGCCTCTTCAACTCACTTATGAAGTGCTTGTCACAATGAGTCTGATGTTCAGCTTAGATTCCAAATGGCTCTGTTTTTATTATCTCTCCCAAACAAAGAGAAGAGAAAGACGGAAAACCAGATTTTTCCTGTGAATCATGCACATGCACACGCCCTGAGAAATATCAAATTACTAATCTCCTACCTTGCTGGCTAGAATAAAAGGTTTTCTGAAAGCCTAGTGCCCTGGCATGTTTCAGCTGAAAGGGGGTCTGGCATATAAGAGCAGTTAACTAAACAGGTTTCCTACTGTTTAATTCCCAATAGTTACTGCACAACAGTTTTGATTCAAGTCAAGTCACTCTTAATTACATCTATGATACTCTGACACAAAGTTTATTAAAGATTTGATTATAACAATATAGTTTAAAAATTGCCCACAAATTGCTTATTTTCTTTACCTGTGAAATGATGAAATTGACCTATGTGATGGTCAAATGTAAAAATTTATAATAACGTGGTATTTTTTGATGGCTAGATAGAACGATAACCCAGAATTCAACAAAGGCCAGGCTTTGTCCAGATAAGTTAGATGTGGGGCTTGGTAATGCCACTTCCTAGAGCTGGAAATTCTTTTTTTTTTCTTTCCGTATTGAAATAAGGAAATAAAAATTTTCCATTTATCAGTTTAACCTATTTTGTTTGTAATTTAAGTCTGAAATGAAGATTGTTTATTTTACTTTGATTTTTGGCAAACAAATCTATCTTCTCGTTTATGTTCATTTATGTTAGCTTTTTTCTCATATAACATGGATGGCTTTTTCTTTTTTACATTTGTTCCATCAAATACCTGAATTTCCCATATCTTTTCTCTTTAGTCTTCCCCTCTGCTGGTTCTACACAGTTTCTTCAATTATTCATTGTATTAATATATAAAATATTGCCAAGTCCCTAAGTATTATATTTTCTTCCTCCCTATATCAATGCTTAATTGTGTACAAATTTTCTAGATAAACATGATTCTGCACTGAGGACTTGCATTATTAGGCGCTTTTAAATGTGGCCTCTTTATTTTTTTTCTTTTGCCATCCAAAGTAACAGGCTCCTTGGGTCAGAATTGTGTATAGAAAGGCAGTAACGTAAATGGAGTATTTGGAAAACTGTTATTAAATGGGCTAGGATGGAATGATTAATTTAGGTTCACAGGAAAAGTGTTGTGCAAATTTTAAGTATGCTCGAGTTTTTGCTGGTAAGGGAATTTCTAGGTAGACATGCTTTATAGATTCTAAAATTACATTTACCTGTTATCAAAGTGTTTTGTATGTGTATTTTAATGGTATTTGAAAAATGTTTTCAATTCTTTAGCCTCACCTTGTGATCCTCTATTTATCCTGAGCTTTGCTCCCTGCAATATGATCTGCTCCATTATATTCTGGAATCTTTTTGATTATACAGATCAGTCTCTTCTTAACTTGGTGGAAAAATTTGATGAAAACACCAGGATTATGAGCTCCCCATGGATGCATGTGAGGTCAACAGCCTCTCTTCCTAACACATTATTTACATTTTTCTCTGACAAGTCCAAAATTCTACATGGACTAAGCTGTGAAGTGACTGTGTGAAAACTGTACAGTTTCAATAATATAATGTGGTGACTCTGGAAATCAGATTCTTCTCACTCCTTAGGGTTTTTTTCCACTTTCTTTTCGAAGGCTCTAGCTGTGGTTTAGTTTTCTTTCTGAACTATTGTAAAGTATGCATTTTTTGTCATGTGTGGTCTCTGAAGTCTCTTTTTCCTTTGCTTACAGTCAGCTAATTTTGACAGAAATTTCCTTGAATATGAGCAGCCGAAATAAAAGGATAGATAGATATAGATAAAGACAGAGTGAGAGAGTGAGAGAGAGAGAGAGAAATAGAGAAGGAAAGATGTAAGGAAGGAAAGAAAGAAAGAAACACAGAAGGAGAAAGAGAAGGAAGGGAGGAAGGAAGGAAGGAAGGAGGGAGGAAAACGCTTCCAGATTGGCTCTGTTCTGGAGCACTCCTTGTTACAGCCTCCACTTGCTGCTGAAACTGAGTCTGGATTTCAGCCAGAGGTGAAATTCTAGAGTCTTCTCAGGTCTTTTGTTAGCCTATATCCTGCCCTGGTCATGTCTGTGTCTTTTTCAGTATATGTGTGCAGTATTGAATGTCTCAATTTTCGAAAGATACTGTCTTCCCACCTTTCGTCTCCAGGGTTTTAGTGCTCTGTTGTGTGCTTCAATTGTAATCCTTTGTTCCACGTGGCTGTGGGTTGTTCATTTGCCTTACAAGGTTTTTTTTTTTCTGATAACAGAGTTTTAATGTTTATTCTTGTTAAATAGAGACAAAAATTAGTCCCTGCAGAGGAAATTTGATTTTTGGAAATACCAAAAGTCCCAGAAGTCAATTTTGGTGAATGTTTTTGATGACTTTTTTTTTTTTAATTCAGCATATTATGGGGGTACAGATGTTTAGGTTATGTATGTTGCCCTTGCCCCCCCTCCTCCCCTAAGTCCAAGTTTCAAATATGTCCATTCTTCAGGTGGCGCACATTGCACTCTGCCTTACAAGGTTTTTGAGACATGCCCACTGCTTTTCCCTCTTGAGTGAATTCTGAATCAGGTGAAACAAAGGCAAGCGCCTTGTATTAGGCCTTCAGGTAATCCTCAGACATGTTAGACACAAACAGAATTCTTTATAAGTAAGGTTTTCTCTGGTTCCTCTGGAACCAGCACCCTGAATCCCACACTGGGACAGGAACTGCCCTTGTTAAGACCACTGCCAAGCCAGTGAGGCAGGTGGGACAGGGCAAATACAATTACCACAAAGCTACCTTACCATTTTTAAGTTCCCTTTTTTATGATTCAACTTTCTCTTGGTTGCTGTAAACCTTTGACTGTTTTCCAGAGTTCTGTCAAAGTTGATTGTGTTTTTCCTTGATTTTTTTGGATGTTTTTGTGGATCTTGGACTTGTCTGCTGTGTCTTTTTTGCTGACATCACTCTGTGAAGTGAATGGTTGAATGCCACAGTCCTGTCTAGATCTTAGCATCACAGAGTGTACGTCTGTGAAAGACAGCAGATGTCTTTATTTTACAGACAAGAAAACAAATGCCTGAATATAGAGCCGGAATTGGTTGGTGGTTTTTCCACCAAACTTCAAAACCCAGTTTCCAGGCGGTACTTTGGTGACTCCCAAAAGCATGCCCGTGGTTCTCAATGGAGATCCAAGGCCCTTGTTAAAAAGCTTCCATTACCCACGGGCTTGGCCCCCAGTCAACACCTAGAGACCTCTTCATCATATTACTGGGCAGAAGTATCCTGATTTAGCGCGTCAAGGGGGGATGATGTTTGGTAACACAGACGCAGCCACGAAATTCTGTGCAGCATAGTGGATATTTGATGGTTCAGCTGGGATCCTAGTTGATAAGGTAACCAGAGTTAGGATGATAAAATGATTGAATTTGGGGGCGTATGAACCATAAAAAAAAAAAAACACTACAATTTTCCCTGTGCTGAGCTAGCATGTCTTGTCTTTCACTCTGCTTAAGAGATAATCATGTGATTTTACAGAAGTAACCTAACTGTTCTGATACACAGTTACTTATCCATAAAATGCTGAATTGGTGTTTCATGGTATCTTTGCACCCCTCCCAGTTTTAAAATAGTGATTCTCTTACTGAGGCTGCTTGCTAGTAGAAATAGCAGGGAGTGACTTTGTGTTCTATTTTGGGTTACCGAAACTTCTTTAACCTCTGTTCTCATCTATAAAATATGAATCATAGCAATTCATGCCATCCTATATTTCAAGCTGTAGGGAAGAAATAATGTAGAAAAATAAGAGAATTGACATAAAAATTCTTTAATACTCTAAAAATAGTGTATGAGGATAGAAAATTATTATTGTCTTTGATTCTCTGGTCACAATTTTCTCCCTTAAATCTCTATCAGCATAGAGGATTACTTTTATGTACAATCAAATGCTTCTCCTAAAGAGGAAAACTATTTTTTATTCATCTCAGTTTTAAAATAGCAGTTAACATATGATACATATGTCTTCAATATATGCTTAATTTAATAATTGTTTTTAATCTTTAAGATCTGTAATAATTTTCCTGCTGTCATTGATTATCTCCCAGGAAGTCATAATAAATTATTTAAAAATTTTGCTTGTGTTAAAAGTTATGCTTTGGAGAAAATAAAAGAACATCAAGAATCCCTGGACATGAACAATCCTCAAGACTTTATTGATTATTTCCTGATCAAAATGGAACAGGTGAAATGTTATTTGTTTGCCTGCATTTTGTGGTTCATTGAGCAATCTGTCCTGATTGGGTATGCTTAAATCATCAGGCAAGAAAGCCTTAACAAGCACTTTGAGTACCTATTGTGTGTATAGGTCTGTACTAAGCATCATGGAAGATTTAAAATTAAATTATTGAGCAATTAGAATAGATAGGCACTGTTTTTAGGTACTAATTATCTTGAGAAAGATGGAATGCACACCTCAGGTGAAATGGAAATACAAATAAATTAGAAAATACAATATGTAGCCATAAATTGTTCACATTACACAGCGTGGGGGAGAATGACAAGGAAGAGTTTAAAGAAGGCAGTAGGTGGGCCACCTGCATGTCCTGAGGTTTGATGTAGATCTTCAAATATTTGCAGTGAACAACAGGGCAGCAGATTTCAGCTGGGAAGAATGGAGTGATGAGAGGTTCAGAGCTGTGTGGTGGCAAAGAGATGGAGGAGAGAAGCCCCACTGAGTGGAACCAAAAATGAAATTGGGTAGATACAGAGTTGTTGATTGCATTATAGAGCTATTTCACTTACTGGGTTAAGTTTATTCTTAGGCATTTTATTTTATTTGTA